TGGTCTTTCTGAGACTGGGTTTCACTGTGCAGTTCAGGCTGGCCTCAAACTTACTTTGTAGCCCAGGCTGGCTTCTAACTCGAAGCAGTTCTCCTACCTCAGCCTCCCAAGTGCTGGGATTACAGGTGTGTACCACCAAGCCCGGCCTTAAAATGATCCTGCACTTTTTTTTGTTTGTTTGTTTTTTTTCCAGTACTGGGAATCAAACTCACAACCTTGCACTTGCCAGGCAGGTGGTGTGCCACTGAGCTAAATCCCCAGCCCCCTTAAAATGATCTTTCTTTCTTTATTTATTTTTGGTTTTTCTCCGGTACCGGGAACCGAACTCACGACCTTGCACTTGCCAGGCAGGCGCTTTGCCACTGAGCTAAATCCCCAGCCCCAAAATGATCTTTAAACAGAGCAGGTTTGGGTGCCACCCACAACCAGGTACTAGTGTATATTGTCGCATTACTTTGGTACCAAGGACAGACAGATAAGTGTAACAGAACAGAGTCCAGGAGCAGACCCATGTCCCTGTGAAACTTGATAGGCGATACAGGTGGTGTTGCAGTTGGTTCTGGAAGAGTTGGTTATCCATACTTAAAAAACGAAATTAAATCTGGGTGAGTTAAAGGTTTAAATGTGAAAGCAAAACTTGACACTTCTAGAAGTAAGCACAGAAACATACATTTACCAATCTTCCGATAGGCATTTTATTTTCAATCACATTGAACATAAAACCAGAGATTAATAAATTTAGCTACATTAGAATTTTAAAATTCCATTAAATTATACCAAGAAGAAAGTGGCAAAACAAACCATATACTGCCACATATATATCTTTCTAGGGTCTTCCAGAATATTCATTCTCACTTAATAAATATAAAATATAAAATAAATACAGAGCACTCGTAGTTTAGCTGTGATACAAATAGGTGTGGGTTTCCTTAATTGTCTTTATTCCTGCTTGGGACTCGGAGATTCCTGAATCTGAGGAGTTTGGTCTTTCATTGGTTTAGGGAAAAATCTGAGCTATTTTATTTCTCAAAATTGCATGTCTCTCATTCTCTATTATTGTCTCCTAGAATTCAAATGCAAAATATTAGTCTGATGTTCCGTTTGGTTCTCGTTCTTTTTTTTTCAAGTCTGCCTTAACATTTTTGATAGTCTGTTGGTTTTATTATCAAGATTTAAATTACAGAACCAGGGATATAGCTCAGTGGCACAGCGTCTGCTTGGCAAGTGCAAGGTCCTGAGTTTGATTCCTGGTACCAAAAAAAAAAAAAAAGATTATAAATTACAGTATCTGGGTGAGGTGGCGCATGCCTGTAATCCCAGCACTCAGGAGGCTGAAACAGGAGGATTGCTGCAAGTTTGAGGCCAGCCTGGGCTACAAAGTGAGTTCAGGGGCAACCTGAACTATACAGTGAGACCCTGTCTCAAAAAGCCAAAAATAAATAAATAAATAAATAAATAACATAAGGTATAACATATAGCAATCTTTTTCTGGGAATCGAACTCACAACCTCATGCTTGCCAGGCAGGGACTGTGCCACTGAGCTATATCCCTGGCCCCACATATGCCAATCTTGCATATATTTCAGCTTGGTGCATTTTCATGCATACCTGGGCCTCTGTTGTCACCACACAGATCAATAAGAGGCAGAACATTTCTATCACTCTAGAAGCCTGTCTCTTTCCAGTCAAGTGTTAATGGACTCTTTTTTTCTTTTCTTTTTTTTTGTTGTACGGGGGACCACTGACCTATACTCTATTAATGGATTTTTAAGTGCTTTGCAGAATTTGGCTGTTACAAATAAAAGCACTAGTGTACATGTCTGTTGATGGACAATTTTCTCGTCTCTAATAGTGGAGTTTCTGAGTCCTGGACTAACATTTGTATAGCTTTAATATATAACATGAAACAGCTTACTGGAGAGGAGGAACCTGTTTATAATACCATTGGCAATATATTAAAAAGTTCCAGCCGGGCATGTTGATGCACGCCTGTAATCCCAGTACTCGGGAGGCTGAGGCAGGAGGATCATTGCGAGTTCGAGACCATCTGAGCTACAAAGTGAGCTCAAGGCCAGCCAGCCTGAACTGCATAGTGAGACCCTGTCTCAAAACGACCAAAAAA